TTCCTGCCAAATAGCTTGACCCCGAGCAGGGCTGGTTTCCGATAACCAGGAGGAGGAACGCTCCCAGGGAATTATGAGGGTGACCCACTAACCCAGCTGGCAACGGGACACTGCCAGCAGACCCCACACCAGACCTGGCTGAAACCCTGCTCTTACCCTCGCCCCACGCCATCCCTGCTGCCTGGCATCCATCCCAAAGCATCCGTGGATCCCGGTGCATCCTGTGAGCCCTTGCTTTCGTGCTGCAGCCCCCAGCCCCGCTCCGGTGGCTGGGAATCAAGTTTCCTTTCCCGGCCGCCCCGGGAGAGATGCACGTTTCCTGCTGCTTCCCCTTATCTCCGCTGGCGGCCGCGGCTCAGCCATCCCGGGGCTGCCGGGATTTCCTGCCCAAAATGGGCCATTCCTGCCCTTCCTCCTCCTCGCTGGGAGCCCAGGGCGAAGGCAAACCTTCAGCAGGGCAGGGGGTTTGTCCTTCCCCCCCCCCACACCCCCTCTCCCATCGGCCACATCTGGTGGGATCCCAGCAGGGGGGTTTGCTGGGCAGTGAGTGGTTTGTCCCAGTTTTCCCAGTTTGGAATTTCGAGTGTCTGTGGGGATGGGGGCTTCTGTGTCTGGCTGGAGCCCTCCCCAGCCCCGTCACGCAGACCATCCTCCTCCAACTTCAGCACATCTGTTTCTGCACAAAATGCCGCCAAGTAAATGCCTATTGATTTCTTTTTTTTTTCTTTTTTTAATGCCGAAGCAACAAGAAGAACAACCCCCCCACCGTCCCCCCCCTTCCTTGGCCAAAGGCCCTGCTGAGCCACATGGAAGCCATTAGAGGGGTCAGTCCCTGCAGGCATCTCCTTTCCAGGCACATGGTGTTGGGCGACCACAGCCTGTCCCCATCCCTATTCCCATCCTCATCCCTATTTCTATCCCAATCCTCATCCCCATGCTTATCTTTCCCCATCCCCATCACTATACTCATCCCCATCCTTTTCCTCATCCTCATCTTCATTGTTATCCCCATCCCCACCCCTATTCCTGTCCCCATCCCCATCCTTTTCCTCATCTTCATCATTATCCTCACCCCCATTCTCATCCCTATTCCTGTCCCCTTCCCCATCCCCATCCTTTTCCTCATCCTCATCCCCCTCCCTATCCCCATTCCCATTTCTGTCCCCATCCCCACCCTTATATCCATTCCCATCCCCATCTTTGTCCCCATCCTCATCTCTGTTCTCCTCCCCATTGCCGTCCCCATCCCCATCTTCATCCTCATCCTCATCCCTGTCCCCAGCCCCATCCTCATCCCTGTTCCCAGCCCCATCCCTATCCCCATCCCCATTCTTGTCCCCATCCCCATTCTCATCCCCATCCTCATCCTCATCCTCATCCCTGTCCCCATCCCAATCCCAATCCCTGTCCCCATCCCCATTTCCATCCCCATCCTTGCCCCCAGTGAGGCTCCCAGCCGCTCCCGATGCCCATGGGATGCCCATGCCAGTGGGACTCTGCTCCTGGCACCAGGACAAGGCTCCAGCTCTTCCCAACTGCCACTTTTTTAATCTGACTGGTGCCAGTTTTGCCCAGGAGGTGGTAAAAACATTTTTTAAAGACTCTGCAAAAAGCCTGGTGGCTGCCCCTTCCACGTGGCAGAAGGTCCTCGGGACCCCTTTTTGCCCGGGGACGGGGTGGCACTGGCTTGAAACTTGTGGGGAACTTGTAGGGTGAGAAGCTCCTCCCTTGAAAACCCAAGTTAATTTACCCCTTAAAAATATATATTAAAAAAAATAAGTGTCTTGATGAACCATTTCAGGACAGCAGCTCGAAAACCACCCCCCTCAATCTTTCCTCTGCAGCAGCAAGAGGTTTTATAACCATAATGTTTCCATCCCCCTGGTGACAGCCCCCAAATGTCCCATGGGGCAGGGAGGTTGTCCTCCCCCCTTCCCTCCCCCACTTCTGCCCCTCACCACCTCCTACGTGCCACCAAATGCCACCGTTCCCCGTGGGAGGGTCATCCCAGGTGGGGTCTCACCTCCAGGACAGACTTTTGGGTGCACCAAGGTGTTTGGGGAGACAATGTCCTGGTGGCAGGGTAAGGGGGGGGGACAAAGGGGCTGTGGGTCCCTGATGGTGCCTCAATTCCATGGAGAGCCCGGGGGGTGTTTGGGCTTCAAAGAAAAGCCTTTTTTTTTTTGGCAGGGGGAACTCCTGGAAGGCTGAGGCCAGTGTCCAGCTGGCTTGAACCCCGCTCCAAAGCCCTGCTCCAAAGCCCTAATGGTTTTCCATGGCCAGACGAGGAGTCTCCCTCCCAGATGACTGATCCGAGGGGGGGGTGGGGGGTGGAAGCCCATCCGGATTCGGCCCCCACGGTCACACTGGCTGGGATAATCCAGGGCTTCCAAACCAGCTCATCCCACATCCTGGCACGGGCGGGAGCTGCTTTCCAGGATGGAGGGGACAGTGGGGTGCAGTGATGTGTGTCCCCCCCCCCATCACCACCACAGGGGAGAGGGTGCAGAGCATCCAGCTGCTTCCCTCGGGAGGATTCCTGCTGGGAATGTGGTGAATGTGTCCCTGATTCGGGGGGGGGTTGACACTTCTCTCCTTCTTATCTGGCATTCCTCGGATGGATTTTGGGGACAGATGGGATATTAAGGCTGTCCCCAGGGCCAGGGGAGCGGGAATCGCTGCAGGAAGATGGAGAGGAGCCTTTGGGCACTTTGTGGCTCCGGCTGCTTGGATTTTGGGATGGGGGGGAGATTTGGGGGGGGGGAATGTCCCCCCAATGTGGGGTGGTGTCACCCCAACACCCCAAAACAAAGCCAGGGACCGCTCCAGCTGCCTGTCCTGGAAACATTGACACACACACTCACACACACACTCACACACACTCTTTCTCTCACACACACACTCACACACGCTCACACACGCATACATGCACACACACACACTCACACACACACACTCACACACCCACACTCACACACTCACACTCACACACACACGCACACACACACTCACACACACACAAGCACTCACACTCACACACACTCTCACACACCCACACTCACACACACACACTCACACACACACACTCACACTCACACTCACTCTCTGGATGGAGCAGGCGGAAGATGGGGCTGACAAAAGGACAAACAGCGGCGACGACTTGACTCGCACGACAGAATTTTGGCCGGGTGGCTGCTCCAGCTTTCCAGACCCCCCCTCTCCCCCCCCAACCCCTAACCCCTGCGGATAAGGAGTCACGGTTCAAGGCGGGGGGGGGGTTGGGGGGGGAACGCGGGGGAAGGCCGGGGCCTCTCGCCC